ATAATGATCTGAGTGGATTACTTAGCTCATAATTGGATTTTACTAGAGGCAGATTAAGAGGCATTTAATTACGAGTAAAACGAGAGGACACGTTAAAATTCTTTTCACTGATTAAAAATGTTGAGTCAATAGAACCACATAAAAGTCTTATTAGAAACATTGCTCTAAATATTAAACGTCTCCGTTCTAAAGAAAGCAGATCAACAACCAAGGCAACCCCTGAGAGCAAATAAGAGAATTTGTGTTTGAACAGATTCAATTTTATTTGAAAAGCATTTATAAAATGAGTTCCATAATACACAATCATATTTTAATGTAGGCCGAACCAGACTGACAATCAAGCGTTTAGCCACCTGCGGATCGTTGAATTCATTAGACCAGCGTTTAATAAACCCTAACAATCATTTCGCTTTATTGACACAAGTCTCGATCAGCAAATTACCAATATTTTCTACAGAAGCATTACAATGGAGTCTAGATATAAATATAGTTATGCTAGGAGCAACTATTAGGAAATGAACATTTAATTGTGTATTTGTCATTAAGACAATATTTTTATTACTTAAGTGTTTTAAAGTCACAAGTTTCCATAAAAATACAATTTCACTTGCAAAATCAAAAGTGGTTTCAAACCGAAAAATTTTTGCGTTTTAAGTTTTCTGAAGAAGCTAAATACGAAATTAAAAACACTTTCGTACCGAATTCGTTCCTGTGACATGCCTGAACTAATGCCTGTACTAAATATGGTATTGGGTGAAGGAATGGAGCTTAAATCCTGAATTCGATTTGGATGTCACTGTTGGCGTCTGCGAATTGGAACTTATTATTATTATTTTTTCGCGACTTAGGGGGCACAGGAATTTATATATAGCATTTTCAGATTAAATGAAACCTTTTGCAATTCAAATGAAACTTTTTGAAGCGGGAATGAAACATTTTGCAGTGGAATTGAAACCTTTTGCAGTGGAAATGAAACCTTTTGCAGCGGGAATGAAACCTTTTGCAACCGAAATGAAACCTTTTGCAACCGAAATGAAACTTTTTGCAAATCAAATGAAACTTTTAGATTTTTAGAAGGAAAAATAACAAAACATTTTTATTTTTAGTAGGTTTAAAATTAAATCAACTAATTATAACTAATATATAGTTAAAGAGGAATCTTTATTGATTATTAATATCTATGTTTTTATAATTTTTTTTCTTAAAGCTTCCATAAAACACAAGTTTAGATGCAGAATGATTGAAAAAAGTTTTTCATCGTATTTTTTTTCAAAGGCCCCAATTAGGTACCTTTTTATAATCTCCTCCATGAAAAGGAGGATATATTAAATTTGTCATTCGGTTTGTAACACCTCTAAATATTCGTCGTAGACCCCATAAAGTATATACAATCATGATCATAGTTGATTTAATGATTTCCACTTATCTGTCTATTGAAATCTCGACTGCTCTATCTCCATAATCAATAAAGCTGCGAAGCGAGAATCCTTTATTAGGTAAGATTAATAGTATACTACAACTATAAAAAATTGTGGTAAAGCTTTATTTCACATTTCAGTCCTGGCCATACCTATAAAGGCCAAAATTTGTTTTTTAGCGTTAAGCATTTGAATTTAATAATATGGAAGCATTTTATATCAAATCAATAAAGAATCATTTGTTATTACAATAATTGAAAATTTAAGAAATAATATAAATAAATGTAGATATTTATAATCAATAAAAAAGCCTCTTTGTCAAAATATTAGTTATAATTAATTGATTTAATTTAAAAACTAATAAAAATAAAAATGTTTTGTTATTTTTCCTTCTATAAATTTAAAAGTTTCATTTGATTTGCAAAAAGTTTAATTTCGGTTGTAAATGGTTTCATTTCGGTTGCAAAAGGTTTCATTTCCGCTGCAAAAGGTTTCATTTCCACTGCAAAAGGTTTCATTTCCACTGCAAAAGGTTTCAATTCCACTGCAAAAGTTTTCATTTCCGCTGCAAAAAGTTTCATTTGAATAGCAAAAGGTTTCATTTAATCTGAAAATGCTATATAAACTTTGTTTAAAAAAAAAAACACAAAACATTGAAAATTTTGTAGTAGTCGATGTAGTCCAAATCTAACACGTTGTAATATGTATATCAGACTGATGGACAATATTGGCCCACTTCTTCGGAACTTCCCCCATAAAGGGTCAACAATTTGAATAAACATAACACAAGGCTGTCTACAAAACTGACCGATACTACTTAACTTCTTTAAGAATACATTAATCGAAGTAAATACATTATTCACGGATTTTTTTGCAAGTTTCGTATTTCAATATTGCAATACTGCTTTTTTACTTGTTTAACTCTTCTATCATAGTTTGCTGCATTTTTCCGCAATTATTGAAAACTTAAATTTGTCGCACAGTACTATGAAAGCGATGTGGTTCAGTTTGGTTTAGGGACCTGCACCGTATTTTTTCATTCGAGCTATTATATTATTATGGTCGATTTTGGAACTTGTGGCGTTCAAACAGTGTTTTTATTTTTGATCAAGTCCTTAAAAATCTTCTGCATTGTAAACAGCCGCTATCGTTTTTGTAAAAATAAGTATGGTTATAATCAAAGATGTGGGTAAATGACAAGGTGGAAAAAGAAAGTACGCCTTTCTAATTTTTCCTACTACACATACATGGCAATTGGGACGATGTACTTGGTACAGGTGCTTCCCAACCAAATTCACATATATTGCAACAAGAATTTTACACAAATCCGAAAAATCAACATACATACATACAATTGCTGTAAATTTTATTCATTTTATTTAAATACTTAATCTTAACTGCGTCTTATAAGTAAGAACATTGGACCATTTGGATAAGGTCAGAAACATATTTTTCTATAAAAATTTTGTTATTGTTAAATTGTTGCTTGTTATAATTCATGAATATACCACATAACAATTTACCTTGACTCAAAAATCGACAAAACTGACTTAAACCTGCAAAATACAGTAATTACGCGAAATATTTTGTGTCCAGAAATTCTAATGTTCTGTCGAATTGAGTGAAATATTCTTTGCAATGCTTTAACCAATTTCGCTCTTTTGTTCGATTTTACGAGCAGTAAAACCACTTTTTCAGAAAGATATTTATGTATGAAAAGTGTAAAATGTTAAACAAATTTTTGTAGTTAGATTCATGCGTCAGTAATTAAAAAAAACAACTCCCTCCCCCTTAAAATATCCCCCTCCTTACCAGCGAGGTAGAGAGACATTTTTGAAACTCATAAATAATAAATGAAAAGTAGTGATGATGAATTATAGCTAATATATGTAACCGTTACACTAAATATAAAAAACATGGTTTGCATGCACAATCTTGACTTTACATATGTGTAAACTTGACTGTTCAAAATTTCGAACACTGGTTTCTGGAAAAAACGAAAAATTTGAGATTTTTTCTGAGTTAATTTTTGACATCAGTGGGGTCAAATTATGCTAAAAAAGTAAATTTTTTCAAAAACAAAAAAATTAAATCTCGGAACGAAATAGATAATTAATTTACCGAAATATGTGTTACACCAACACGAGAGCACATATTGCCAATTTCCATATATCTAATCGCAAGGTAGTTTTATGTATTGGTTTAATGAAATCAGATCTTGAAGCTTTTTGAAGCTGAAATTAATAGTACCTCCTGTACCATTACAAAATCTGAGCTTTTACTTACATTCCTGGAAATTTGCATCTAAACACATCAATATACATGGTTCAAGTTCAAAAATATGGACATTTATTTTGGTTTTTGAACAACCAAAGGAGCAGCCCCTATATACATTTTTTTGGTGTTCGCATTTCAAAAAATATGTGAGTAACTGCTTATTGTCTGTATTTTACAAGTTTTGGGGACCAGAATTTACACACTCCATATAACATCGGTTTGGATGTTGGACTTAGGATGTACCGTTACATAAGGTCTAACCCATAATGTCTAGAGGAAACACGGGCATAAAATTAAAAAAAAAAATTGCTTGAAAATTAAAAAGTCTTTTGAATGGTTTGCATTGGAAATATCTCAATTCTGTATCTCAAATTTTAAGAATATCCACCAAGTCACGATATATCAAACAAGTCATGATGGCATATCGCTCTTCCAACAATAACTTTGAATTTCATGTATGTTAAAGTCAACCAATTTTTAGTCAAAAGTTTATCTACACAAAGTTCGTTCAGCATAACGTCGTTTTGTTTGCTTTCTGTTTACAAAAGAATATTAAATTTTGAACAGTGCCAAGAAATAACAGTTCTTTTAATTGTTTTGAAATGGGACACATGCTAACAACGCATGAGCATACTAAAATCTTAAATATTACATATCTCGTCTTCAAAAACTTGGCTGAGAAACTGTATGCTAGGTAATCATCTGATGGTGTCTCTAACAATGGCCGCTGAAAATTTGGTCTTACTACTCCGATTTCGAAAATCTTGCCTATATAAGCAAAGCCTGGTCATGAATGAGAACAATGTCCACAAAGAAATACAACATTTGGTGAAATATTATTTTTTATGAGCGAGTTATTAAAATGTATATACTTGCTTGCACATGCATGCATGTACTTGAGTTTAGCTCGCAATTTGTGACGTGCAAAATCGTAAAATGTGCTGTATTTATACTTGACCTATATTTGGAAAGTATTATTTGTTAAAAAATAGATTACCACGCCCTGTTTAAAAAATCAATGCGAGCACTTCATGGCATGTACACCAAACTCTTCAACAGGTACGTGCCCAAATTCAAGCCCTGTGAATTTAGATTATTCGACAAAAATGCCTGATACTGTTTATTTTTGGGTCAGACACACACATACTATACACATAAATATATAACTTACTCTTACGCATTGCTGAATACATGCATAAATTCTTGTTATACATACATACAAATTTATGTGTTTAATGTATATGTGTATGTGTGTTAATACATGTCTTCTCTTTGTCACAAGTTTGGCTAATACATTTTTCTTACCTTATTTGGGTTCTCGGATTGTTTAATAACTACAATAGATTGATACGAATTATTGGAACACAAACATTTGCACTATTCTCAGTGTTGTTCATTCTTCACACAATCATTTTTGGAGAAAATATTTTTTCCCATTACTATTTCGCTTTTGATTATCTTTACGAACATTAAGATTTAGTTAGGTTCTCAAACCAGCGGAGTGTGTTGTATTGATTTTTTGTTTACCGTGCAAATAGAACGAAGGAATGCACATCCTTTTTATGGAGATAATTTTAAACTTTTTTTGCGAAGAACTTCTAAAAGAATGGCATTCTTGACGAAAAATGTATTTGTTTCACTTCGTTTGTTAACGTTGTTTGAAATTTACTTATTTATTGTTTTCATTTGTCGAGCATGAGCTACGAGTTGTTTGTGTGTAAGTGACGTCCTATTCCCGAATATTTTTGTTATCCTCAAACAGATGTCAAGTGCTGTCAAAATAAAAAGCTTACAACTTAAAGCTTCACCCTAGTTCGGCCAAAAACCTTTTGCAACAGTAATTTGATGTAAACAAATGTAAGTGGGTGTGTTCCAATACTTAGAGAAATTGTTTGAGATGTCGTATTTTAATAGCCTGTTCACAGAACTTTTGTGTAAGGCAGACAAACAATTGCTACCCAGACAATCAAGTTTTTATTTTAGTTCATTTACTTTTTTCGTCTGGGAAAAAAGCTCTTTTTACTTATTGCCCTTCTGTCAAAAATTTGTTTATGTTTCCAAAAAGAAAATTTGTTTATATTTTTTCAAAATGATTGCCTCCGTTGGTTTTGGACTTTCCATTTTAAATAAAAGTATGAATAGGGGTGACGGAAATATCAATCTTTTTCGTCAATTGCGCGATGCCACAAACGTATTGGAACTTCCAGAAGAAAGGTAAGTGTTTGGATGGATCCAGGACAGCGGATGAAATGGACCATAACTTTTGTTGTTTGTTTCAGATTTATTGCCAATTTTCGAGTAAGTAAGGATGTGTTTTTGATGCTGTTGGGTGAAATGGAGCCACAAATGAAACGGAATACCAGGAGCAGCAGTGTTCCACCAATCGTAAAAGTTTCAACATTTTTAAAATTTTTGGCAAGTGGTGGCTACCAATTTTGTGTTGGAAATGAGAGTGTCTCATATATGTCAAAGGCCAAAGTTTCGGAGGTGATAAGCGAATGCTTGAACATTGTGGAGCAGCACATATGTGCTAAATGGATTCGTTTACAAAAAACATTAGGTGAGGAAGACGAATGTAAACAAAGCTTTTTCAACAGCGCTGGTGTACCAGGAGTTGTAGGATGCATAGACGGCTCCCATGTTCGAATAAAGTCCCCTGGGCAACAACAACAGCATTTATATTATAACCGTAAAGGTTACTACAGCATAAATGTAATGGTGGTAAGTTTTTTTCAAAGCTATGTAATGAAAATATGCTATTAATTTGTATTATTCATTACAGATATGCGATCATAATATGGTAATAAATTACGTAGATGCTAGACATCCAGGTGCAAATCACGATGCATTTGTGTGGGACCAGAGCGATGCACATGATCATTTTAAAAATAATTTTATTCGAGGCAAGAGGAATACATGGCTGTTAGGTATTTATAGTTGCCTTTTTTAATACACACATATACCAAAATATATTGTTTCCTAAAATTCACTTGAAGGGGACTCTGGATACAAACTTCAGCCCTATATGATGACGCCATACCGGAATCCTTCAAATGCCACCGAAAGGAACTACAACAAGAAACATTCAAAAACTCGAAATGTTGTAGAACGGTGTTTTGGTGTTCTAAAGAATAGGTTTAGGTGCATCATAGGATCGAGAGGGTTGCATTACAGTCCCGCCAAAGCAACACAAATTATAAACACGTGTTGTGCTTTGCACAACATATGTATATTTTATAAGAACCATTTGTTACCAAGTGATGCTATGTTCCAAAATGAAAATGAAGATTTTGGTAGTTTTTCCTCTGGCGATGAAACGGCAGCTATTACAATTAGAGACGAAATAGCTTTAAATCTGTTAAATTAAATAGTTAAAAATAATTAAATAAATAAACATAAATAATAAAAATGTAATTAAGCTCTTTTTTATTAAAATTAAATTAATAGGGAAACAATAAAATTGATTATTTGATTAAAAAATGTCTTAACACAATTATTTTCATTCAGTTTTTAAAAAAAGTTAACATTTCTTGCAAGACATGTTGAATGCCTTGGAGAGAATTGGCCAGCGAGTTGAGTGTTTTTGTTTGCACCTTCATCTCTTCTACCAAAGCATTATTCTGCTCCAATTGTAATTTTAAAAGTTTTATTTCTGCCCCTTGTTCCTTTTCTGCGATCTTTCGTTTCTGTTGGTTTTTGCAAAGGTTTGCTTTCGGCATAACTTTGATAGGGGTTGATGTCGCTTGTGCTGTATTTGAATATTGGTCTGAAGTTGTGGGAGTAACAACAGCAACGATAGTTGAAGGTCTGGGTGGCGTAAGTTCCAAAACAAGAGGCTCTTTCCTATTTGTACCGAAGGTTATTCCATCAGGTGATGCGGCTTTTGATAGCTGGCATATCCTATCGATATCCCTTTCGAGATCTGTCAACGAATTTTGATAGGAAGGTCTTCCGCCTGTGCCTTTCATTTGCTTTATATTTTCAGTTATTTTGGCCTTCGTTCTACATTTCATATCTGCCCATATCTAAAACCTAAGCGTTTTAAATACTGTTGTAAAACAAATGGCTGTTAGTGTACCCTTTTCCAATCAGAACCACTTCGCATTGGAGGTCCAACCGAATTTATTTTTTGTGCCACAACATCCCATTTGGATTCAATTTCGACTTCCCAAATATCGGGCTTGAAGTTGCTAGCTCTGGGAATTCGTCAATAGATTCCACCAAGATGCGAAACTGACCAGGAGTTGTTTTTTTAATTCTAAAAGATTGAAATTTCCTTATAAATTAATGTTTATAATGTAATAACTTGGAAATACTTACATTTTTTTAGTATAAATATCCATTTTACATCCAATATCTTCAATTTTTAAAACTTTTGTGAATAGACGATTGGTATTTTTTGATTGCCTACTTTGACATTTCGTTTTGTTTGTGTTGGAGTTTGGTGAACCAAAAATTGCCTATTGAAAAAAGCTCTTTTTGTTTACTTACATACAAAAACCAAAAATTCTAATCGTCTGCCATTTGCCGAGCAATTGGAAGAAAAATAAGTTTGCTGAACAGGCTATAAGTTCGTAGTTAATGCTACAGCCTGTACCGTTATTTCAAGTTTCGAATTTGAATATGGTAATGGCTTATAAGAAACAATGTCTATGTAGACATCAACGTCGTATAGACCCCCAAAATAACGGATATATTCGATAGTTTTAAGATTTTAACAGAATTTTTAATGGATTTTATTTTTTGAAAATTTCCTAATTCGTTCCATATGGTGGAGGGTATTCAAAGTTCGGCCCGGCCGAACATACTGCTTTTTAACTTGTTACTTGTTTAATTTGGTAATGCACAACAAAGTATATACAAAGTAAATATATTCTTGATTAGCATAAAGTTATATGTTGATTTAGCGATGTCCGTCCGTCTGTGGAAATCACTCTAGCTTCTGAAATCAAGTAGATTGATAAAATTTTACTCAATGTATATTATGTCTGCAGGACTTTTGGTATTGAAAATGATCATGTAGGTTAACGTTTTGGTATAACCCTCATATAACGGTACCTCCATATTTTCGGTATTTTGATGATGATTTTTGAAGTTAGAGATGGATACTACAGTCTAAGACCGAAAATTGTCTGTGCAGGTCCACGTCTTAGTATAGCCCCCATATAACGGTGTCTCCCGTTAATCGGTATTTTGATGGTTTTAGCGACGCTATTCACTGGAATTTTTTAAAATTAGGTGTTTAAAGTTCGTAATGATAACTATAGTCTGTGACAAAAAATTGTGTGGGTAGGTCCACATGTTCCTATAGCCCCCTTATAACGGTACCTCCCGATATTCGGTATTTTGATGATTTTAGCGACATTATTCACCGGAATTGTTTCAAGTTTGCTATTTGAAGTTCGTAATGGATACTACAGACCATGGTACAATGAAGAGAAGGTAGGTCAACTCTGAAAAAATTGCAAGTATAGAGGTCTACGTGTTTGGCTTGTAATGTCAGAATTACTATCAAAACAATAAAAAAGCAAACAACTTGTTGCATTGATTTTGAATAAATAATTTAAAACCGCGAAAACTGAATGAATGGTCAAAATTTCTTTTCAATATCATGTTCTACATATCTCTTATGGTTTCTTTCGCAACAAAAACTGTAGATTTTGTCGATGCATTCGTTGCAATAAGCATTTTGAAAACACCCGAATTTGAATATTTTCTGAACAATTTTTTTGTTATTGAAAAGAAAACACATACATAAGCAAATAAAGATGACATATTAAGCCAAGAAAATAAAAAAATTGTAATCATATGGTATCATAGCCCTACCTTGATATCATTGTACCATGCTACAGCCTATGAGAGGAGATCGGTTCCTCCCGATATTCGGTATTTTGATGATTTTAGCGACATTATTCATCGGAATTTTTTGAAATTTGGTATTTGAAGTTCGTATTGGATACTGCAGCCTAAGGCAGAAAATTGTCTATGCAACTCCACATTGTTGTATAGCCCCCATATAATAGTACTTCCTTGTATTGATGATTTTAGCTACATTATTTACCGATTTTTTTTTCAAGTCTCGCATTTGAATATTTTAATGGCTTATGACAAAAATTGCCTATGCATGTCCACGTCATCGTTTAGACCCTAATATGACGGCTACATTTGATATTTTTTAGATTTTAACAGAATTTTTAACGGATTTTATTATTTTTTGAGTGTGCCCGACTTCTGTGTATTTATTTATAATTTCAAAATCAATGATTGAAAGACGCATAAATTGCGAGAAGGACATGAAAGCTATTCACCAGTTTTGAAATGGAATTGAAAGATAGAAATTTGTAGATATTATTTTTGAAAGAAAATCCCGCAGTTTAATTGATTTTAAAAATTAGGAAAAATATTGAATAAATGAAAACAACTTATTTGCAAACAAATTTGACAGGAAGCGGGCGCAGCCTCAGAGCTGTATTTCTGTAGTTTTACGAAGCTGTTCTACCTCCGTATTGTACCATGTTCTACCTCTTAATCGCTTTTATCTATACAAATGTTATGGAATTATAGAGTTATACCTTCATTATTTACAGCTATTATGGTTGGGACTCTTTTTATACACATTTTATTCTTTCCACGCTCAAATCATATATTCAATTTAGCATTAATGCGCACCAAGTAGGAACATTTAATCATTAATTTAGAATCTTTGTATATCAACATGGTGCAAAAATGTATAGTAAATCATCAATTGAGACCGAAAATACCGATAATAATGCGGAAGTTGGTATGTTATAGCATGCTGTTAGTTACTACATTTATAACTGAAGATTGTGAAAATTCGATTCAATTTGGAATGGTCTATTGACAGAAAAGGATAAAATCGGAAAAATAACATAAAGGTACGTCATCGAAAATGACAATAATATTGTTACATTTTGTCCATGGTATAATTATTACAGGTAACAGCAAGTCCCAGATGATTTGACTCTATGAAATACTAGTGTCAAACTAGATATGACGTTTTGTGATATAATTCCTTGATATGCAATAGGTTTACATTTTTGACACATAACTCTGACACTTGTATTACGATTGTTGTACAACAACACTTGCTGTTACCTGTATTATTTTACCATGCATTTTGTCATATGTTTTTATTTCATTACATTTGTTTTAAATTGACTTTCTATATTAAATTGTACATTTTATAATACTTTTGTTTTTAACATTAACATAACAATACCAAACCAAAATGCTAAACTGCAGCCCATTTGGTTGGAAATTGGGATTGAGATTTGTGAAAAGCCGGATATCACAAGGGATACCACTATTTGAGGGTCATGACAAATGTTGCTTTTATATCCTCTAAAAACCTGAAACGGTAAAATACTAACTTGTTTGGAAAATGATCTCAAAGCATCAAAATACTTAAAATCTGCAGGTGATTGAAATATTTTTCATTAAAAATTTTATTTTTTCTGTTGGACACTTGGAAATGGTTTCTGAAAGCGTGAACCAATATCATACAAATAGCTCAATCAGTCGGAAATTGTGGCAGAGACATGCACAATAACAGATTGAAATTGGGTATTATGAGGGCGTAGATATTATGTGTACGCATGTGCTGCTTTTAAAGATCTATCTTTGATACTGGGCCCTTTTTAATAAATTCGAGGGACGGCGGATAGACGGATGAATATAGTTAATTCAACGCAGAATGTTAATCCATCTGTCTCAAAGAATATTTTTATACCCTCCACCATACTATGGTTTAACTTTGTCATTTCGTTTGTAACTCCTCGAAATACTCATGTCAGACCCAACAAAGTATTTGAAGTTCGTAATGGGAACTACAGTCTGTGACAGAAAATTGCCAAATGCAGGTCCAGGTCTTCATATAGGCCCCATATACCACTACCTCCCTATATTCGGTATTTTGACGAGTTTAGGTACAATACCCACCGAAATTGTTTGATATGTCGTATTTGAAGTTCGTAATGGATGCTACAGTCTATGTCAGAAATTTGTCCTCCCTATATATGATATTTTGATGATTTTAGCTACATTATTCACCGTTTATTTCCAGTTTCGAATTTGAATATGGTAATGACATATGACATACAATGCCTATGTAGGATCACGTATTCAAAGTTCGGCCCGGCCGAACATACTGCTTTTTAACTTGTTTAGTTTGTGAAAAAGTGTGCGAAGATAGGGGGAGTATGGAATCCAAACATTTACGTGGACTGTATGGGTGGAAGAATGTGTGGTAATATTAATTCTCAACCAAAGGGAAATAATATTGCATTGATCCGATAAAAATGAAATTCAAGAAAAGGTTTCCAAAACGTTATAAAACGTAAATACTTGTTTTTTATAAAAAGGGAGAAGAGAAAGTGAGCGTGCATATTTTTAGCAAAGGAGGTAAAGCTTATGTTACTTCGTTGAGTTAACAATTCAAAATAGGCTTAAGTATAATTCATATACTTAACGCTACAGGGCTACTTCAGTATAGACCTTGAGAAGTCGTTGAACTCTTCGTGGCGCACGACGGCAGTGCTGGTGGACGACTCAGGGTGCAACATCGAATGGTGCTGGCAGCCGCATTTTTTACAAACCACCTTGGAGTGACACCGTTGCCCCTGGTTGCTTCTTCCAATACAGTTTATTAAGTAGTCATAAATCTTCCACCCGGGTAAAGCCATAATTGGGTACGGTAGCAAATCGCTCAAAAGTCGATCGGCGTGCTTCTGTTATTCGTTTAAAATGGAGCTTAAAGCTTTTTACAGCTGATTACCACAACCCTAGCATATGGGGATAAATCGCCTTTCGAAACCCTGAGTGGGACACTTACCAGCAATATCGGTGGCAACAACTTTAATAAAATTTGAAAATTCTCGAAGTAATTTTCTACTAGCACAGATGAAGTTCATTCCATTATCAGAAACTATCCGACAGGGCAGTCCTCGCCTCCCAACGAATCGAACGAAGCCTCGAAAACTCAGAGCAAGGGCTTTTTGGTGAAATGTCCTTACCATCGTCTAAGTCATTATATTCCTGTTTATAAAATTTACGCTGATGAAAGTAAATGAGTCCATATTTCGCAGAGAAAGCTTTATAATGAAAGAATTGTGGAGTAATATTTTTACTGAGCTTTTTACATCTATATAAACAATTATTGTAGAATGTATAAATATTCGAAAATACCCGCTTGAAAATCGGTCTATGTAGTCGACCACTTTCTCATTATTTTCTTTAACTTCGCTTTCTATAGCAACTATGCTTTGTACATTCGGGCGTAACTATTGGAATCTTCTTAGGTCCATTGAACCACAAAGGCTGGTGGCTAAATCCTGAGGCCCAGAACCTATAGTGCCAAGATCGGCTGGATTGTGGATGCGTAGGTACATTTTTTCCTTCTGCCACTTGGAGATATTAGTTTTCTGAGTGTTTTGCCAATTATAAAAGTGTTCGAATCGCCAAAAAAGGTGCACAATAACTCCAAACGTAACAGCTTGAAGTTGAAAGTATTTAACAGGGCTTTCATCATCCTTGCGAAATAGAATGA